CATGTGGAGGTCAGAGAACAACTTTGTGAAGTCAGGGCTCTCCTCCACCTTTACCAGGGTTCCAGGGACTGAAGAGCTAGCTCAATGGCCCACAGAAAGGAATTTTCCTAAGTGTGCTGTTTGGGATCTCAGAGCATTTGGACAGACATGCCAGATTACCAGTTCATACATGTAAATATCTATAGCTCTACCACAAAGGTCTATCCCAGCTACCTTGTCCAGCTGTCTGCCTCTAGGCTTTTAGGACTATAATCAGTTCTTCCAAACCTCAAACAGTGATATTTTGTACTTCTTCTATATTGGGTCAAGCATGGTGGTGGATGCCTTTGCTTCCAGCACTTAGGAAGCAGAGGCAGGAGGATCTCTGTGAGTTCAAGGTCAGCCTGGTCTACAAAGTGAGTTCCAGGCCAACTAGGTCTACTAGCTCAAAAAAGAAAAAAGAAAAAAAAAATCTGAAAGTTTTATGGACATCCTGCTTACACCTCTGTGAGAGTATCCACGGACAACCTAATCAAATCTTGCAATACTGATGTCCTGATGTTAGAGACAAGGATCTCTCAGGCTGAGGAAATACCGTTCACTGGACTGTCTAAAGATACAAGAAAACCCCCTCCGTCTACAGCCCTTCCTGTGCTTGCTGTCAGCTCTGGATCCCAAGGCCACCGTCTGTCCTCTCTCAGTCTGTCTACTGGTCCTAAGATTTGCAGAGTTGCTTTAAAAGAAAAAATGCGCACGCTCAGGCTCTGCCCAGGGATTCTGATGTAACTGCTCTGGGGGTGGGGGGTGGGGGGGTGGGGAGGAGCCTGGTCTCGGCTGGTTTAAACATAGATGTTAATGTTTCTAGTCACTGCGTTGACCGCATGCTCAATGAGTATTTGCTGAGTGACTCAGTGTTTGAATGAGCCTGAATGAGGTAACTGGGTATGGCTGCAGCAAGTGGGCGGCAGAAAGCTGGTGAGGGCCCTTAGAGCCCCTCCTCTGCAGGAAGGGGGGCATTCACTGAAGATTACTCTCTTATTTTTCTCTTTCTCTTTCTTTCTTTTTCAGTCTTTGGGCTTGAACCTTGGGCCTCTCCTTTAAGTTGCCCAGGCTGGCCTTGAACACACTCTGTATCCCAGGCTGACCCTGAACACATTGTGCATCCCCCAAAATAGGTCTTGAACTTTCCTTTTCCCTGTTTTCTTTTTTCTTTCTTTCTTTCTTCCTTCCTTCCTTCCTTCCTTCCTTCCTTCCTTCCTTCCTTCCTTCCTTCCTT